ATCCCAGGACCCTGGGATCATGACCTGAGCCGAAGGCAGACGATTAAGGACTGAGCCACCCAGGCGCCCCTTTACTGTTTTCATTTATATTTGTTTACTAAGTGGCTGACCATCTTCTCATTCATTGCTGGCCATTTCTAGCTCTTCTTTTATGAATGGAATATAAGTATTCTTTGACAATTTTGCTTTAGTATCAGGTAGTAACACTTTATCATATATGTCACCAATGTTTTTTCCCAGCTTGTTATGTATTTTAATTTTGTGTGTGGTGTTTTTTGCTATTTATGAGCATTTAATTATTAGGTTGACAAACATATCTTTACTTTCTAATTTCTGGTTTTGACATCATGTCCTTTTCTACTCCTAAGGTTATTGAAAAAAAAAAAAAGAAAAGAAAGAAAACCTAAATTTGTTCTTACACATGGAAGGTTTTATTTTTTAACATTACATCTTTAATCCATCCAGAAGTAGAATATGTGAAGTTACCATAATTTTCTTCTGCAAATAAGAAGCCAAGGTTCCAACAGTATTTATTGAATATTCAGTCTTATTTCCCCAACTGATTTGAAATGCCCACTTTTATCATATACTAAATTCTCATATATACTTGGGTCTATTTCTAGTCCACAGGTATATTTCTATCTCACTCATCTGTTTGTAGTCTGATAATATATTTTATAAGGCAAATTCTCACCCTTCGTCTCTATTCTTTTTCAGTATTGATGTGTCTCACCTCCTATATTTATTCTCCTGGAATAGTTTTGGGATCATTTTATCAAGTTGTAAATCTTACATTGGAATATTTTGGGGGCTGTACTGAATTTATACTGAACTGAGAAAAATGGCATTTTTGCAACATTGACTTTTCATCTAAAAATAAAATCTCAGGGGGTGCCTGGGTGGCTCAGTCAGTTGAGCGGCCAACTCTTGATTTCAGCTCAGGTTATGATCTCAGGGTCGTGAGATTAAGGCCTACATCAGGCTTGCGCTCAGTGTGGAATCTGCTAGTCCCTCTCCCTCTGCTCCATCCCCCCACTCGTGGGCTCTCTCTCACTCTAAGATAAATAAAATCTTTAAATAAAAATAAAATAATGAAATAAAATAAAAACAAAATCTCTGAGTGCCTGGGACAGCTCAGTTGATCAAGCGTCTGACTCTTGATTTTGGCTCAGGTCGTGATCTCGGGGTTGTGAGATCAAGCCCCGCACTGGGCTCCAAGCTGGGCGTGGAGCCTGCTTGAGATTCTCTCTCCCTCTCCTTCTACCCCTCACCCTCGCCTCCTGCCCCGCTTTCTCTCAAAAATTAAAAAAATGTTTAAAAATTTAAAAAATAAAATCTCTTTCCCTTTATTCTTCTTTTTTTATAACCTACTAGAAGAGTTCATGAGTTTGTATCATATGGGCTTACACACTTCCTATTAAAAATACTCCTATTTTCCTACTACTTTTGTTGCCACTGTGAACAGCTTTTTTCCCTAAGTATGTTTTTTGTTTTACCTTATGTATATAAAAAGCTAGCAATTTTTATGCTTATTTTGTAACTGACCATCTTCCTAATCTCTTACTTTTAAGGCTTTTAAATGATTCACTGTGTTAATAATAATAAATTATCCTTTTCTTTTCTAATATTTACATTTATTTATTTGAGCTATATTAGTTTTTTTGCTAGTCTAATATGTGAAATTTAAAATACTTATAGGGTTCAGATTTCTTTATTGACTTTTCCTAAAAAGATTAAAGGATTGATGAAGAATCATTATATGAATATATTTAAAAACAACTTAGGGACACCTGGCGGCTGGGTCAGTCCATAGAGCATGCGACTCCTGATCTAGGGGTTGTGAATGCGAGCCCTACATTGAGTGTAGAGATTATATAAAAATAAAATCTTAAAAAAAAAAACAAAACTTAAAACTATGTATTTGGATGTATGATGTATATAAAATTTATCTATCTTGGTGTGGTTTTAAGTTTTTCTGGATTCTGGAGGTCACTTGCGGGTCCCACAATTTTAAGAAAAATACCTTTTGTTTTCTTAATGTCTTATTTATAGATTTTTCATCAAAAACAAAAATTCATCAATACAAAAAAAATCATCAATATCCTAGAAAATCTTGAATTCTATTTTTCGATAAGAGCACATTATAGAAACCTTGTTAGGTAGACCAGTGTTGATTCAAATCCTACTATCACATGTGTAACTTTACACAAGTTACAAATTTTCTCTAACCCTCCCTTTCGTCATCTGTAAAATGGAAATAATACAATGTAAAATATTAGCAAGATCAAATGAAGTATGGTATTATTGCCTGACACACAGCAGACACTCAAAAAATGAAGATCGAATTTGGTCATGTTAACCTTCCACAAAATTAATATCAGCTTTTAACGGTTTGTCTCCTACCTGGGATTTCGCAGTAAGTGCAAGAGAATGGTAACCACCTGCCTCCAGATAGATTACTTCTTTACCATCCAGACATTTTACACACAGTGGCTGAAGCCTAAAGAAAAACATATACACACAAACGCAAAGTAAGAAGGCTCAGCAAGAATCATGACCTTTTTCAAATTACAGAGCAAGTGCTTTCAAGTAAAGATAAACATTTCAAAAGAAAACACTAAAATAAAAATATTAAATATATGTTCAATTTACTCCTAAATATTGTAAGTAATTTTGGATGGTTTTAATTTAATCTTTGTCCATCAGTCATTAATTAACAACCATAATTCAGAATCTGTTAAGAATCAAAAACTACTAAATGTTTCGTTATGGCAGAGTATACTTAGGACACAATGAAATATAAAACCATAGAGGTTTTGTTTGTTTAATACTACAGTTGCCTTCACTTTGCTAAGATTAGAGACATTTACATTAACTGGCTGTTTTGGATAATCATTCCATTTACACACCTTCACAAACATCTAATCTGTTAATATGAGTTCTTAAACAAAACAACAGTTTTTCCTTGATGTACATTAATGGTTTAATATTGCTATTATAGTTATTTTGGCAGCCACAGAAGGACATCTTTCAGGTTAAAAAAAAAATTGTTGGCTTTTTTTTTTTAAGTTAAAAATTTCAGTTTTATTTAAGTTTCCCAATGAAATACAATCTTATCCCAAACATCCCTTTCTGTTCCAAGATGAATATACATCAAAGAAGAGATGGAAAGGTACACCACAGATACTTAAGTCCTTTATTATTAGGTACAAATTCAAGGCTAATATGACAGGTCTGTTTGTTTGTTTGTTTAATCCACGTTAATGATATATAATAATCTGGAGCTAGGAAGGACCAGATTTCCTCTCTGAGGAAATGATATAGAGTTCTTCACAGGAGAGAGATTTATTTGTTAAAGCCAACTCCTAATAGTGAACACAGGCAGCACTCACCTAGGCAGAACATCACCATGTCCCAGCTGTCCTTCCTTCCCTTTCCCCCAGGTCCACACCTCTGTTCTCAGAGAAGGCAGGAGTGCATCTGCTTCTCCACTGTATGTAGGAGTCAGAACCACTGTCCGTGTTTTTACCCGTGCAGCTTTTCTTAAGAGCCTGGGGGAAACTGAAAACAAACCAGAGATGGAGTGAGGGAGCAGATGGGTGGGTAAAAAAGATATCATTTTGACCAACTGTTGATTTTCAAAGAAATACACTAACATGGTATTTGTGAAGCATATTCTATAGGTTCTCTGCAAAAATGGGGATTTAATAGTGAGATGAGTTTGGTAAATGCTGCCTACTACATTCTATCCACTATACTATCTGCCCTGTAGATTCACACACACATTATTAGCATGCCAAAGGCCCTGACAAGTCCTACAATTAAAAGGCCTGTTTAGATTTGTTTAACTCAGCCCCACTTCCAAGCGTTTGGCCACAGAATCCCTTTCTGTATAACATACATGTTATATAGAATGTTGGGAACTTGCATTCTACAGAATATGCTTAATAAAATACTACACTAAGGCTGACAAATATTTTTCCCATTTCAAAGCAGAGTTAAAAGTTAAGCCTCTCCAAGTTAAGGTCTAAGTTCAAACATATTTTAAATATTATAATAAAGGACTTATTTTAAATATAAAATTTTCAAGTTTCTATGGTGGGGAAAAAGATTATGAATGGGAAGTACTAAATAACTTTTGAATTTTGCCTACCTATTTCAAATTATTTTATAAAGGACTTAAACAATGTTTTAAAAAATCTTTTAGGGGCACCTGGGTGGCTCAGTCGTTAAGTGTCTGCCTTCAGCTCAGGTCATGATCCCAGGGTCCTGGGATCGAGCCCTACATCGGGCTCCCTGCTCAGCAGGAAGCCTGCTTCTCCCTCTCCCACTCCCCCTGCTTGTGTTCCTGCTCTTGCTATCTCTCCCTCTCTGTCAAATAAATAAATAAAATTTTTAAAAATAAATAAAAAATCTTTTATAATCTCTTATAATATTCAAAATTATAATAATGGCATACAAACACTATGTAAATCTTGTACACTGATTTGGTGGCAGGATATGTTTTGAAGAAAATCACTGAATGTCACTAAGTGAAGACTTGGTCATTAACTTGAGGGTACAAAAAGGTGATCATCACTGGCTACAATCAACATCTTTTCTGGTAAATGTGCCATCCATTTGTACACACAGACACTTAAACCTACTTGAAGCTCTCTCAAAGATGTATTTTAGGTAATTTTAAAATAGAGACAGAAAAAGTGCACGTAAAATCTTTCTAAAGATACTTTAGGTCACTAAGTAAAATTTAACCAAAGGAAAAAGGTCTATTAGTGGGATTGCATATTTCAAAGACCTAATGACATGACAAAAATCGATATTCCACATTTGTGGTTCCAGGAGATCTCAAATATATTTATGCTGCAAATATGAAAGGACATTTCAGAATAAGACAATTTTGGCACAAAGTTCTCCTTCAGACTTAATAGAATCCGTGGGCTTTCTTTTTATGAACACACACACACACACACACACACACACACACACCCAATCAGGACTAAGGGTTTTATTTGTGAGCTGAAAATCTAGTGGCAATGACAATTAGAAGGCATGATAACAGAAGTACTCAGTGACACAACAGTGCCATAAGTAAGTAGAAGTGCAAGGTAGGATTCCTAATTTTAGAGCTTTGCACAAAATGGTGTAAACTGGGGGCTGGTAACCTAGACCATAGGTCAAATAGAGCCCACTGACTGTTTTGGTAAGTAAAGTTTTATAGGAATATACGGCCTTGCTCACATATGTTTTACTTATGGCTACTTTTAAGCAACAATGGCAAAGTTGAGTAGTTATATAAGAGAGACCGTATGGCCCGCAAATCATAAAATATTTCTCTTTCACTCTTTACAGAAAAAGTTTACCAACTCCTGGTCTAAATCCACTGCTGCTCAAACTTTAATGTGCACACTAGTCACCTGGGGATCTTGGCATAATGCATATTCCAATTCAGTAAGTTTGGAGTGAAGCCTGAGATCCTGCATTTCTAACAAATTCCCAGATGCTGCTGTTGTTTCTGGTCTGCAGGTCACATTTTGAGAACAAAAGTCTAGATGACTGAGATTCCTGAACCAACTGAGAAAGGCTGAAGACCCAACTGGGTAACAGTCTTAATATTCTAAGAAGTTTGTTGCTAATTGTATCAGAAAATGAACTTTCCTCTTCTTGAAGTTTAAGATTATCTCCACTCTCAGGTCAAATACAGTAAATCCCCCACTTAACAATAGTCACATCTGCAACTTCATCTCTCTGGACTACAGGCCCCAACTAGGACATAAGGAGGCTGTCGCTACATTCCAGAACAATAAAATAAGATTCACAGTAAGGTTCAGAAGCAGAAGCAGACATCACAAAAAAGTTACATTCTACAGTTATTTTTAAAGCAGAGAAATATGTAACTTTCTTTTAAAACCACCCAAATCACCAAAATCAAATAAATGTTGACATTCGAATAGGTCAGCATTAGCAATTAGGAAAGCTACTTATTATCATATAGCACATGATGTCAGGAGCATTCTGGATTTACCAAGAGTCAATTCACCTGGCTATTTCCTTACCTTGGGACAACAAGCCAGGGAGGGAGAGTCTTCGGCTGCCTCCCTCTGATTCCTCTTCTCGGATATCCACAAGACTTGAACTCTTCTTTCCTTGCATTGATTCCTGTTTAACCTGTTCTTCTCTGCTATCTTTCAGACCTTCGGGGCCTATGGAACTACTGCCTGCCTGAGTTCCAGGTTCACAAGGGGCTGTACTATAAAAGTTCATAACTTTCTTAAGAGACAAGGCCCCAGCTTCATATGTAGCAGCCACTCTCACACCAACAGCAGATGCACAAGAGACTACTAGGCTGTTTAGGGCTGAGGTGCTTGTGGTTGGTGGGCTGAGAAGATTGGGAACTGCTTCTTCTACAAGAGGCTAAAATATACACACATAAAAAAGTATATAAAAATATAATCCCTTATACAACAAGCACTCAATAAAGTTTAACAAAAACCATCACTATTTACAAATACAAGAATCTAAAACAAAGGTCTCTATCTTCAACTTAAAGGTATCCGCTCTTGGTACTGGATTTAACATATCATACAGAAATGAGTACTCAAACTACAGCTCCTTATCAAAAGTACTTCCTTTTGTTTGAGTGTTGTGTTTTTCCATGCTATTCAAACATAAGCCCCAGCTGCTTTAATAAAATTAAGCACAGGAGGGGAGTGGGGAGGAAAGGTCTGGAAAACATAGCGTTTAATATTAGGTGCACTGTGACAGCCCTGGATATAAGGTTGAAAAGGTTAACAATACATAAAAAAAATAAATAAATAAAAGTAATATTATTGATCGCTTTTAGGAAAATTTACAGATTACTACTAAAATACCAGGAAAAAAAAATACATCTAAAAACGGCTTTTCCTAAAATGTTTTATAAATGGTAATTTAGATTATCGTATATACAGGCAGAAAAGTAAGTTATACCTCTGGCCTATAATTATGGATAGGCATGGGCAGTATATAACTGTCCCCAAGTTATGTTCTTAAGTTCAAGTCCTTCCGCTGCCTCATGAATGTGTTATTTTCCATGATCCATGGGCTATGTAAGCTGAAGGATTACTTTTGCTCTCATTATGATAGAGTAAATGTGGTAGGTTAATAATTAAACATTTGGGACCAATGTTCTTTGTGTTATTCAGAGCTGTATTTAAAAGTCAAGCTAAAGTTTTCTAATATCTTAGTAAAAAAATCAGTTGAAACTTACTCTGAGCAGTCAAGCACCACTGTTTAAAGGAAAGTCATGAAATGTAACTATTAAAAACACAAAAAGAGCTTTTAGCTTAGCATAAGTCACTACGAAAAATCTGCTTCCTATGCTGTCCAAAGATCTCAAAGGGTATATATACTTTCCTTAATTTGTCATGAATTGAAAGCTAAATGAAAACAAATTTTTTAACATTGACTTCTGATTCTCTTAAAGAAAATAATTCCCGTTTCCTGCACAGTACCTGGATTGTAGAGGTACTCAATACATTCTGTTGAATTAAATACTAAATTCAGAGAAGCAAATGAGTCTTTAATTAAAATATTCACAAAAACAAATAAACCATATCAAGCAAAAGATAAATACAAAGCCTATTAATTCCTTGGTGATACAGTTCCCTGATAACTTGTTGAGAAGAATTAACATCACTATTTTCACCCTTTGTGTATAAAGGCTCATAACAGAAACAGCAATGGTATTTACGGGTCAATATTTTAGGGCGTTCTTACCAACAGATAAGAGGAAAGTCACAAAATTCTACCTTCAATAAACTTTAAATTATTGTTCTTTCTGGCTGCTTTACCTAATTATGTTTAACAACACATAAATAAATCAACAAAACAAAAATACATAGCCAGCAATTTTGATGAAAGACATAATTTTAGGAGTCCCGGTCAACCAATAATAAAATTCAACTGGGAGATATAGGCTTCATTGCCAATATTATGGTTTATTTCACAAAAATGAGATACTCTTTCTGTTGTTTCTGGCCAGAGGAGAAAAAACTTGTCCTAGGCTGTATAAATTCCTAGTGAATTAGCTGTCTGATTGAGACACTATTTACAAAAACTGAATTAAATTTAGTATAAACAGACATTGCCAAAATTAGTATAGGCAACAAAAAAATTTACATGTTTAACAAAATAAATCCAAAGGAAAATGCAATTTCAATGACAATTATTTAATCATCAAATAACTGTATACAATAAATTTTTAACTTCAAATTTAATAAATTAGCAGAATGACTTCTAAAAGTCAAAGTCCAAATTTTTTATAAGCATGTTCAAGTCTAAGAATGTTTTATGTGCATTCCTATTAAATCATTACTTTTGTTTTTAGATTTTAGTAGTATCTTTCTCCAAACAGCTTATTCTTAATTAAAAAAAAAAATCAGATATCCACAAGGTTCAATGAGTAAACTGTGAAATAAAAACTATTTCTAAAAATACCTCTAAGCCATGTTCTCATCCTGACAGACTGAAGAACAAGAATAAAGAATCAAGAAGTATATGGTTTCAAAAACCTGAAAAAAACACCACAGGACAGTTCTTTTATGACTAGAGGCTTTTGTTTTGTTTTTCTTCTCTTAGAGTTTTGGTAAAAGCAAAACTGAAAGGCTTACATGAAGAGTAAAAAAACAAATTATCCTTTTAAAACAATTTGTTTAATCAGGGAGACTCAAACTTTACTGTATGCTACTGGTAACAGCTTTTCTCCATTTACAAGTTTTTAAAATTAGAGTAGTTTAAATGAGATGAAGAAAACACTAATCCCCTGTCCCACAACAAAGCCCTCTAAGGACCATAGGTATAAGCTGAAAAAAATTCAAACAATATATAACACCAGGAGGTTTTTTTTAAGGTCTGCCTACAACTGAGGGATTCACCACATAGCAACCTCCCCTGATAAAAAAGGAAAGGACTACTCTCTACGGAATCTGGAGTCGTACAAATACAGGTGCGATGAATCTTTGTGAATGTATAGTTATATTAAAAGTATTCAGGGGAAAAAAAAAAAACCCACAGTATTCAGGAGCCTACCAAAATTTAGTACATTTCGTCATGGGAGGAAAAGCACTAGAAAAAATAAATGAGATTTTGCTACTTATGAAAGAAGCCCAGCATGACATCTTTCAACATCTTAAAGGGCAGAATTTGAACATAAAGAGTAATTTTGATTTAATCCAGGTTTCCCCTTATCTAGGATTGCATGATAAAAGAGATTTAAAGTCAAACTCAAGACTTAAGCATTTTAAAGTTGCTAAAGAAAAACTCCTAACTCCAGAAACACCTTTATATTATAAAATTTAGCAGGTACCTGAGATGGCATTGGCTTTTCGCCGTTCTCTGAGTTCTCTCTTACTGAATGATCTGACAGTTTTTGCATGTATTCATTTACTGCCTGAGTATCAGGGTACGATGGCACATTTCTGGCAGAAGAAACTTCAGTTGTTCCCACGATGTCTTGTTGGGAGGGAATGGCATCACCACCTGTGGTCTGAACATTTCCAACGTTCGTGTCAGTAGCAACAGGCAGATCATTTTCTCCAAGCGTGTGCTCGAATACTTCTCCCTGACTGTCAAGGGTTTCAGTGGAGGGGCTGATGGCAGTGCCGGCCTGGTTCTCTGCCTGGGATTCTGACAGTGTCACACCTAATGGGCAACAATGACTGTCTGATATAATCACATGGTCTTCTTTGTCAGTCATCGTAATTAGGAGTTGGCTGCACTGGTTGCATCTTTCCGGGACTGGCTTCAGATCCTGGGAAGGGAGGCACTGTACGAGTGCTAAGCTGTGGAACGCACCACAGGCAACCTGTAGCACTACTCGCCCGGCAAGATGTTCCACCTTTTGTGGCTTTGTCACCGGGAAGGCGGTGGTAATGAGACCCAACTGACAACCAGTACCCCATGCCCAAATCTCTCTGCTTAATGACAATGCCAGTGTGTGCTCCTCACCACATGCCAACTGCAAAATCCTGACGGCTAACAAAGAACTGGTCTCAGAATCAGAAATGCTGACAGGATTCGGTTCTGGAACATACTGCTGGTTAGCTACTGCACACTGGCCTGCAGAGTTCTCCCCCCACATGTACGCTATGCCACTTTCTGTCACTGCTCCACTGTGGAAACTCCCTGATGCCACAGTAACAACATATTGCCCAACCAGGGCATTTTCTAGAATGGGGCTACTCGGACAAATCTCTGCTGGTTCACTTCTCCAGGGAAGAGTCCCAAAGCTGTAGACCTCACCATCTGAAGGTTAAAAAAAAAAAAGAAGGGGGTTAGTGAATTAACTGGAAATCTCATCAGCAAATTTTCGGCCCCTCTAGGTTAACAAAATAGGGCTGTTTTTTGCTTTGTTTTTAATTTTCAAAAGTGCAGTTGTAAAGATTTTGGTTCAAGCATATAATATCCCACGTTTATTCGTCTTTTAACAAATATCATCTTTTAATATTCTGAAAAATAGTGAGAATTTCTACCAACTACAGGAGGCTACTTTCAAATGGAGGGTTATTGCTCCTTTCCTTCAGCCTCATCCTACAAAGTCCTACATGGATCCACTAGTAATGGCTATCATTGTAGGCTATTACAGATGGCAGATTCCGAGTGTTCAGAGCAAAGTAATGACCATGATAAGATAAAATGAGCAGAGGATAAAATAGATACATTCGCTAACATCTAGAACATTCACTGCTACTTCAATAAGTCAGAGCAGCAGAAAATTATGCAGAAGCATAAAGATATTAGCGATTCATTCTGGCCAAAACTAAGAAATCAGCTTTATACTTCCAGGTTCTAAGAAAGCACCAGTGTTCTAGATGCTGTCTTCATGACATGCACAATATTATGTATCATTTTAAATGTTATATATAATATATATTGTGTACTATATAGCATTCCTGATGTGCCATTTGTTTAAAAAGCAAATCATCACAACGAAACCAACAAAGCAAAAAAACCAACAAAAGCTATGATGGCTAGCTTTAGAATGAAGGGCAACTGGCTGGCTTTAGAAGTAAAACAAAAGGCGCCAGTGAGCTGGGCACATGACTGATAAGGACCTGTTTCTGTCCAGCTGTGCTATCAAGTCATAATCTCATGCAGTACTGTGGTAGTTTGGGGGCATGTGCATATGACCTGTGCTAGCTAAAAAAACTCAAATGGAACAAAGATTTGGCCATGGGTTTTGAAAATAGTAAAACAAGCCCACTATTCCTTCTTTTCCATATGACCAGAGACTCATCCCATTTTTTTAAATTAAGAAATAATGAAGTAAATTTATAGTAGTATTTTTTCCCACAAAGCAGCAACTGAGCTGATGATGAAAAAAATGCATTCTTTAGCTATGGCCTATTATACACAGTAAATATATTTATATACTCAAATTAACTAACCAGAATGTCTATGTAAGAAAGAACACAACAGAGGCTTGAGGGAAGACATGAGCTTTTATTACGGAATTTCCAGTTTGGATAAAGAGTACTGAGAAAATAAGCTCACTGGTTACGATACTTAAACTTTTCTTCCCGAGTGACACAGCAATATAAACTTGCAACAGCTCACCAACTCTTTCAATGGATATCACTCCAATAGAGACAGAAATAGTGCAGAGAAATGGATATTTAGACAACTCCTCCCTTTTTTCAACCTGGAGTACCTCAGAAATAGTGATTCAATGAAGTGTCCTCACTGAATTATGAGCTGATAGTCAAACTAAACAGAGAAAAAGAACTTGAAAATTTCTGGCATTCCATCAGTAACATTTTCTCACCTGGAAAAGATAGCACTGGAGATCTTTTTGCCATTTCAAACTACACACCTGTGTGAGATGAGTTTTTTTTGTTTTTTTTGTGGGGTTTTTTTGTAGCTTTGACACTTAAAACCAGGACATTGCTTAAACATGAACAATGATAGGCTATTCATATATTTTTAGAATGTTTTCCCCCAGTTATCCCACTTAAGGTATGATTCTAGAGGTTTAGAGAACATGTTCATGAAGGGTTCCTAAATATCTTACTGAAGGGTAAATTAAACAACGGAATTCCACTTACATATGCTTGAGAAGGATATATTTTGAAGCCCTAGGGCAGGTATCTATTGAATATGGTTCACATTTTTATAATAAAGCTTTTTCCAAATTCTGGCCTAATAATATTATTCTATATTATTATAATAAAAGTGATATACTAATAAAGAGGCTAGAAAGAAATCCATGTTTACCCCACAAAATTACCAAGGTCAGATTTAAGCTTTGCTTCTTAGAATTTGTCTTCCCTTAGTTCCTATGAGGAAAATATCAAAGCATTATTGAATACTTAATAAATGCTTATGGAACAGAAATTTATAAAGTAGTTGAAGGCAGTCCTGGCTCAAACCAAATTTGCCATGATTGAGTTGGTAAACTGCTATCAAATTAAAGGCAACTCTCTCTATAAATTATAGCCTATGTTTCTATCTGTTATAGATTTATAGATTTATTTTATTACACATTCTTAGGAGCTGCTGTTTATGCCTGAGAAAAACCGTACTGAGGCAGTAGGGGCAGGTGGCTTAAAAAGCAGGCTCTGAAATCAGACTCTCTGAATTCCAATTCTGACTCTGACACTCCAATAGCTGTGTGGGCTTGGGGAAATTATTTAACCTCCTGACCTTCAGCTTCCTCATCTGTGAAGTGGGGACACCAACAGTAGCCTACCTCACAACGTGGTTGTGAAGACTCAGTGAGGTGGTACATACAAAGTGCTCGCTGCAGTGCCAGGCACCCATAATTATTTAATAAACATTAACTATTATTAGCATGGTTATTCTGATACATTTAATGAACAAAGGTACAGCAAAAGAGTTTCTGAATAGGTAATCTTTCAAAAGTTAATTTTTCATGTACTTGTTACTATAAAATTTACCAACTGTAATTCTCCCTTTTATTCTAGTTATGATGGATCTTAAATTTAAGAACTAATCTGATTTTTGATAGAGAGTAAGAACATATTTTGAAAACACAAAGAATATAAGCTCTAGCAAACATCATTAAGAATTCCTGATATCCAGTAACTCTCTTACCTGATCTTACATACCCAGGTACTGTTAGCATTTCAGTTAGTATGTGTTAAGCCATTCTTTTCAATACCTTCAGTCAGAAGAACTCCATGCTTCACTCCAAGGGCTGCTTGAAGAACAGTCTTTCCTCCCCAGCCTGGCAGTCTCTCTGGTGTTACAGAATAGGATCCTGCCTGCCACACATGGACCAGGCCTCTTTCTTTGGATCCTTCTGCTTCTGTTGAGCTACAAACATTAAGAAAAATAGCTTAATTGTTCCTGCAATTAAAACTGTATTTTGGGGGTTCTTACTAATTTCATTAGATCTGTACCTTTTACCAGCACATGGGTGACTGGGTCAGATCGTTTAGCACATATTTTATGCTTTGGTTGGGACACAGGAGCAGATATAAAACAATTATTTACATAAAAGGCTTGAGGACAATCTAAACCCACAAATTACTTATCTCTATCTAAGAAGTAAACAAAACCTGGACTATTTTTTGACATTTTAGATTTAATAGCACAAAATTTTAAGATTCTAACTTCTCCACTTATTAACTCCTTATTTGGATAATAAAGTTGTAACATGTCCCAAGTTGGAGTCTTATTTTAAAATTTTAGTTTTGAATGCTAAAAAAAGTATTTGATAAGAAGGAATAGAGATCCACATTTTACTTTGCACTGAGTAAGCCCTATAGTTGTTATTTAACTTTTTAAGAATCAAATTTATATCAGGAACAGTAAAATCTTTTGTGCTTTACTCATGTTCTAGCCAAAGAATTCTATCCATGTGATGATTCTGGTTCAAAGAACACAAGACACCAAGCTTTATGATAATGACCATACCATAACTGCCTACCCTTCTAAGAAAAGGGCATATTAAAATATGCTGGGTTTCCTTTATACCAAGTTTCCTCTGTTGCCACTGATGATACATGCTTTTTTCTAGAACAATGATGCCAATTTTAACAAGGCACAGAAAGTTTTCTGGTTTTATTTATTTTATAATACCTAGAAATTTCTCTACTTTTGCTAAGTAATATTCCTCTCAGTTATGATTAGGCATAACCATGGTTATATGAGAGGAAAGCCACAAACTTAACCCAGTTTTCTAAGGATAGAAGAGGACTGCAATTAATAAGGCTATGTCTGAAGACCTGAAGTTATTTGTGAGAAAAAATGGCTTCAAAAGCTTTAAAATGATGATGACACTTTGTGCCATTTTTTTATGCATAAGAAACTAGCAACAAAGCTTATCACTAATCAGTTTTATTTTATTATCTTTCTCTTTACCAATCAACATAAATGTCACTCTTCCTACTTAATAACCACAAACAAGAAAATTGAACTGAAGAGAAGCTACGCATTCGTGCAATTGCTTGTTGTGTTTTCCTAGAAGAAGGTAGAAGAAGAAATGGTTTTACCTTCTCTTCTTTGAGTCCATCGGTCAAGGGGAGAACTCCATCACCAAATCATTTCTTCTTTGCGAAAAGTATATAAAGACCTAAATGGCAAAACACAGGTAAGCACAAAGAGCAATGAAAGAATACTGTGCTACTTCATTCCTCAGATTTAAAGAAAAAAAAAAAAAACGGCAGCCCTCTAACAAGTGCACATTCACTGGGCAATAAATATGCAGTGAAACTATTTCAACTATTTCATATCCCGCCTGCCAAAGTTGAATATCTAGACTGAGCCTGCCCACTGAGCTTATAAAAATGCCTGCTGACCATCAAATGCAATGTCAAAGGAAGACAAGACTACTACCTGCAATTAAGCTGTACTTTGTCAGGCAACAGATTTTATTTTTTATTATAAAGAAGGAAGCTCAATCTGAAAATTCTTTTCATTAAATACTCATTTCACACATGTTAAGGGTTGCTTTTAAAATGCTTCTGGAATACATGAACATGTAAATACCAATTAAGTAAGAAAGAATTTCTAAAACTTCTTCAGTAATGTATCAGATTCAAGTTGTTTTAATTTACATTTTTCAGCAATGCACACAAAAAATTATATTACTAAAATCAGAAAGATTTCTATTTATTGGAACTAGAAGTATTTTCCCCAAATCAACCTCAACTCGAAACCATAGTACAAAAGGCTGAAAGAAATTTGGGTTTTAAAATATCTGTTTCAAAACCCACCATTTAATAATAAAGAGCTATATGAAATTACAGTACCAATATCATGACCCATCGGTTTAGAAACTCAATGTTTAATAAAGAGACAGAAATATAAACAAGCAGACAGAGATACTCAATACATCTCAACTAAAAATTCATATTTTTAAGGGCACCAAAACACATGAAAATACATAATAGCAATGAGGTTTTATTTGTATCAACCATAAAAATACCCAAACCAAATGTATGATTTTTCTGCAAAGGATATGGCATGGTCACTGTACTCTGAAAACAGCCCATACCAGCAGGAGTGATGTAAGATCCATCTGTTTACTCCAGGTTGCCTGTGAATTCTTACCATTTGCCATCTGCGTATCTGGAGGAAATTGCTCTCTACCTAATGCTTATTTTAGAAAAATTTTGAATCATTCAAAGTTGGATGAAGGGTACCATGTAAACAAAACATATACCTGGATATATTTAATAAATGCTATTAATCTAATAAATGATTATTTTTTAAATAATAAATGTGATTATTAAGTGGTACTATGCCTTGTGAGGATAATTAACCATTAGGAAAATGTACAGAGAAATTCTGAGGCCAGATCTAACCTGTGTTTATTCATCAGAGATCAAGGAGTAACTAACTGTTCCCTTGATTAAAGTTAAACAATACCCAGCAGAAACCAGAGAACTTCTCTGGGAGGGTGTAAAAGTACACAAGCACACTTTGCTTCCCATCACTGATTCACTGAATGTAAATTGAATTTTATCCTAGTGCCTGACAATCAAAAATGTTGAGAACCTTTTGGTGAAGTGAACAAAACAGTCAGTCTTTTTTTCCTCTTTGAGTGTCACATTTTTTGAATACAGAGTTTTCTTAAAGTAGATTTCATCTTTTGCCATATTTTTCACCACCACACATTTTTTCAAATCCAAACGGAATTAAAGCCATATAAACTGTTTTTGCAACTTTCTTTTGTTACTTACTATATATGCTAGGCAGAATAATGGTCCCCAAAGATGCCCACATCCTAATGCCAAGAACCTGTGAATAGGTTAGGTTAATGGCAAAGGGGAATTAAAATTGCTAATCAGCTGACCCTAAGATAGGGAGATTATTGGGTTGGGTTATCGGTGTGGTTATCACAAGCCTCCTTAAAAGTGCAAGAGACAGAAGGAGAGTCAGATAAAGAGATGTGCTGATGGAAGCATGGTCTGAGAGACTGCTGGCTTTGAAGATGGGAAGGGGGGGAGCATAAACCAAAGAATGTGGGTGGCCTCTAGAAGCTGGAAAACGCAAGGAAACAGATCCAGAAAAGAATGCAGCCCTGCTGACACCCTGATTTTAGCCCAGTGAGACTTCTGTCATACTTTCTACCTAAAGAACTGCAAAAACAATACATTTGTGTTATTTTAAGCCACTAAATTTGTAGCAATTTGTTAAATAGCAACAGAAAGCTAGCTAATACACTATTTCGTAGACATCTTTCTATATCAGTATTATAAATCTGTCTCATTTTGTTTTAATATGTTTGACTTCTTCCAAGAAGATAGGTCTGCCTAAGACTCAAATAGAGTAATGAGAAACAAATGACTGCTAAGGAAACATAACTAAAAAAGAATACTACAGCTAAATGTGGGAACCTTGTATTATAAAGTTTTCTCTCACATACTTAAATATAAGTGGCATTTACCAACTCTTATTTAACCTAACATTCTTTCTCGGGCATGAAGCCTACATTAAAAAAACAAAAACAAAAAGAAAAAACCTAACATTTCTCAATTATGTATCCATAAGAAAAAGTAAACCCGAAATTTTTGTTTTTCTATTTTTATGATCCCCTATCAGGAAATCTTTAAGATTTGCCTCAAGCATTCAAATAGCACTTAAACTTCCTTAAGCTCTCTCATTGCTTCACATTTTTGATTGTTATAAAACTGCTTAATCATGGGGCTTCTTCTGGGGATAGTTCTCTCCAGGTGAACTTTAAGGTTCTCACTCTACATTCCTTTGGGAGACAGAATCCCTAAACTCTGCTTCTTTTCTTCTGTTATATAGTAACTTCCCTTCATAGGCCTTTATTATATTAATTAGCTCTGATAAAGAAACTGTGTGATGTTGTACAGTCAAAAATCTGGGGTCCTCTTTTGCCTTGCACGGCCTTTCCAGAGATCAAGGACATCTGTAAAATGAGCACAACAGACTCAAGCATCCCCTCCAGCTCTTAAATTCTATGAGTCACAGAAGAAAGCTAGATTCATATTAAGGTATGCCACTCTACACTTCAAATTATCTCCTTTACAGTGAAATGTAAAGCAATTAAACTCTCAGATGGCTCTTTAAAACAAAAGCCAAACCTTGGTTCTTAACAATGTGACTCCACTTTTAGATCCTATTGGAAACACAACTTCCTGCTACATTTAACAGAGAAATAAACTATCTTGTACAAGCAGAGGGTATGCTTTTAACACCATGATCCGAGAGTGCCCTAAAAAAATGTGGTCTAGGTGTCCGAATTATTGTTAGAAAAAGCTGCAAACTATCTACAGATCCACAAAACCTTAACCAGAAATCCAAAGTCCCCTCTGTCAAATAAATAAAATCTTTAAAAAAAGAAAAAAAAGAAATCCAAAGTCCAAAAAACTGAAAACTAAGTTTTTTCATAACTCTTTTGGTGGCAAAATCTAATACGACTAAAACTAATCTGACAGCAAACCTGACCTGAACTAATATGAGGTTAGTTTTTGCCCCTTTAGTGTGAATATTCATATATTTTGCTGTAGAAATATTAATACGATTGGGGCAACTGGCTGGCTCAGTCAGTAGAATGTGACTCTTGATCTTGGGGTTTTAAGTTCAAGCCCCATATTGGGTGTAGAGATTACTTAAAAGTAATTTAAAAATCTTTAAAAAAAGAAGAAATATTAGTATGATTATGGGGTGGTACCAAAGGTCCCAGAGAAAGTGTTACATAATATATGGTTTATGCACATTTTAAAGATCAAAAAATTCTGAATTCTAAAATATACCTTGCCTCAAGGGTTCCAAGGAAGAGACTAGGAACCTGTATTCTATTTTTTTTTTTTTTAAGATTGATTTATTTGAGAGAGAGAGAGAGCTTGAGTGGGGGAGAGACAGAGAGAGAGGGAGACAATCCTCAAGAAGACCCCCTGCTGAGCACAGAGCCTGACAAGGGGCTCTATTCCAGGACCCCGAGAACATGACCCGGGCTGAAATCAAGAGTTGGATGCTTAACCCACTGAACCACCCAGGCACCCCAGGAACCTGTATTCTAAAACAAACAACAATCATTTTTGGTAGGGGTCCCCAACTTTTAACTATTTTATACTTCCTTTAGTTTCTTATATGTACTTTTAACATCAACTTCATCTTGAAGAGTACACTAGAAAGTTGCATTGCTTACAAGACATTCTATAGGTGCTTTAACAATGTATTCCAATGGTGATGATTTACACTTTTCTCAAAAGTTTTAAGTCTATTTTATGGTGAACATACTCACATACAGTGCCCAAATTAATTTTGCAAGGAGTATCCTGCCTGCAAATACTCACTTGGCTCATCTTCTCAGTGGAAGGAGGAAGCCTAGGCTCTTTAATTTCATATAAGGCTGCCAATTTGGTAGAAGAGAAAGAGGTAAACAAATAAGGTGCATTGTCCTAGAACAACTAGGACTTGGTGATATATTAGACACAAGTGGGGTATAAAGAAGGAGGTATCAAAAATGATTTCTAAGTTCTGCCTTGAACAACTGTGTGTTGGTGGTACCATTTACCGAAATGGAGAAGAGTAAAAAAAGACAGGATTCTGAAGTAGAAGATTCTGGTTAAGATTTTTTTTATGTTAAGTTCAAGATGCCAGTGAGAAATCCCAGAGTACCTATCAAAAGCAGCTGAATATGAGTATGAAGTTCAGAAAAAAGGTCTCAGCTATTGATATAAACTTGGAAAGGCATATGGATAATATGTGAAATCAAGACAATGCATAATATCACCGGGTGTGTATTAAGAGAATGGAAAGGAACAGGACCAAGCTGTAAGGAGCTCCTGCACCTAGAGGTTGGTTAGGATGAGGAACAAGCAATAACAACTGGGTGAGAAGTGACCTGAGAGGTGGGAGAAGCATGAGTCTATGTGTGCACATAAAAGCAAAGCAGAGTGTTTCCAGGAGAAAGGCCTGGTCAACTAGGTCAAAGTCACTGGGGTCTCCTAGGATGAGAGCTGAAAAGTGTCCAGTGCATATGCCAACACAGATATCAATGCTGAGCTTGGCCACAGTTTCAGTGGTAGTAGGGGACTGAAAACCAGATTGGAGTAGGTTGACTATAAATGGGAGGTAAAAAATAAATGGGAGGTG